ATTCCCCACATGTAGTTTTCTCAATAGCCCATCAAAGCTATCGTGAAGACTTGGTAGGAGATGCTGAGGGGCCATTTACAGTCCAAACAGCATCACACCCTTCTAAATCCCTGTTTAGGACTGCACTGTCAGTTATGGATAAACTGATGCACCAGATGAAAACAATTATTTATTTGCTCCATTCATACCCTACCTTTCTCCCCAATGGGCACCCAGTGCAGCTTATATCATTATCATCCGTTTTATCCTCACAACAATCCTCCAAGGTAGGTTAGACGGAGAGTGTGCAACTGGGCCCAGGGTCACCTAATGAGCTTTTATAACAGAGTGGAGATTTGAACCCGGATCTCCCAGATCCTGGTCTGACACACTAACCACCACAACATACTGGCTAGCGGAATGGTGGTGAAAGGAAAGAAGAAGAAGAAGAAGAGATTGGATTTATACCCCGCCCTTCACTTGGCGTCTCAGAGCGGCTTACAAACTCCCCACAACAGACACCCTGTGAGGTAGGTGGGGCTGAGAGAACTCTGACACACACTGCTCTTTTTCAAGGACAGCTGTGCCAGAGCTTGTGACTGACCCAAGGTCACATCAGCAGGTGCAAGTGGAGGAGTGGGGAATCAAACCCGGTTCTCCCAGATTAGAGTCCGCGCACTTAACCACTACACCAAACTGGCTCTCGATGAAGCCCTCTTTATGCTGTTTGGTATCTTTTCATGGAACAAATAATCCTCTTGGACCACAGCTCCACTTGACCACTGTCAATTTTTTTCTTACTAATTTGGTAATTTATTATTTACACACCTATGACGCCCGTCCCCCGTCTCTTCAAATTTTTTAGTTTAATTCTTCATTTGAGTTTTGTCTGCAAGAACGGATGTGGCTCAGTGGTAGAGCACGGGCTTTCTGTGCAGAAGGCACCAGATTTAATCTCTAGCATCTCCGGGGGTGGACATATGTTCTGGTTTGAGGGTAACTACTGATTCTCTGCCTGCTCTTTTTTTTGGGGGGGGGGTGTCAGTTGAACATTTGGCTTTTCCTGCTTCTGCTGGTGGTTCCTCCATGTCACTTCCAGCTCGCCCTTGTCCATAAAATATGTTACACTGTTTTCATTGCATTATTCTTTAATTTTGTAATTCAGCTTTACAGCACTGTTTGTTGTACATAATACACTGTTTTACTGCATTGTTGCTCCTATCTTCCCATCTTGCTTTCCTTTCAGCTTTATCTGGTTTTAGCATGTTGCTCAAAACCAGTTTTATTGTACTGCCTGTTGTTTGTATTCTTCTTGCATTGTTCTTAATTGTTTAATCTGCCTTGAGTTTCAGGGAGAAAGGAGACTGTAAATGAAGGAAGTAAATAAGCAAGCAGCAATCCTGAGGAGCAGCCACTAGAGGATGCTGCTATCGGCAGGTGGAAATCCAGATGTGGCTCTCTCTCCCATGCTGAATGGACCCTGGCCTTTGAATTGCTTCGGTGCATTTGACTGATCCTTGGCTGAGGCAACAGTCCAGCGGCTGATCCTCCTTACAAACTGTTAAGCAGCTCAAGGGTGAACGAAAAGCTCCCAGAGGCCAGATGTTCCTCTCTGCTGTAATTTCCCATCTTGGAATTGAATGATCTTAGGCAATGTGCTGGGAAAGAGCCTTTTCAGCTAGAGACCATGGAGAGCCATTACCAGTCAGGGTAGACAAGACCAAGCTAAAGGGACCAATGGTCTGATACAGCAGTTTTAGAAGGTTTATAAGGTTCTGCTTTTGAAACTTCTATTAAGGACATTTGATGTAAATGACAGAAGTGGGTGGTTTTTTTGTTTTGTTTTTTTAATCCAATTTCTTTTCAAGTCTGGTAACATGGTAGCAAAAATAACCCTAACCCATCAAGAGCACCGCACTTTATTTAATTACTGTTTTTATGCTGTTTAAATATTGTTTTATGCTGTTTTAACTGTTATGGCTTTTGCCTCTGTTGTCAGTCGCCCTGAGCCCGTTTGGGGAGGGCGGGGTATAAATCTAATAAATAAATAAATAAATAAAATAAATCCCCACTCTTTACTCTAAATCCATAGGTTCCATGCCAAAACATGCATACTGTACCTTTAATTCTCTAACATGCCAATCAGGAGCAAAGGGGAAAAAGGGAAACAAAGGGACACAATTAGGGTGAACAGCAAAGAGGATTTTGTAAAGCTCAAATTTTCTTAGTGATTTTTTTGAACAGAGAAAGCAATTATATTTAATGTTATATAGCCTCACAGGTAAATCAAGGTTTTAAAAAAGATGCTTGGTGTGTCCATGGCTATATTTTTCAAACAAAGAGGCTTGAAAGAATTAAGATTTGGCTTTTAAAATATATTTTTACTTTACACATTTCAGGGCTGAGCCTTCCATCAAATGTAAGCCCTGAAATTCAGACAATTTTTAAGGAGATCTGTATGGACATAAGGAAGAAAAATTTGAATGGTTCTCAAAAGAAATATGATTAGCAGACAAAATGACACAGCCCATCACCTCTACAGCAAAGAGCAGAAATACACATTAGAAAGCAAACACAGGACTCTCAAAACTGTGTGTGTCCTAGAAGACCAATATGGGGATGGTATAGTTGGTTGCAAGGGGACATCCTGTGCTTAACCTTCTCCCCAGTAAGCAATATGCTAGGCCTTGCTAATTTGGCTCTTCCTGCTCGGGCACGGGTGGGAAGGGAATGGTTTGGGATGGGGGTAATCAGAAGGGGGTGGAAAGTTTAAGCACCACCTTTCCCATCAATTCTCCTCTACAAATACTACCTCCTCCCCACGTTATCTTGGTATCCAGGGGCTTAGGTATCTGTGTTATTCCACCCAGATGTCCTAAAATATACGAAGTGGGCCCTCCTATATACCTTTAAACAGGAGTCTGGTGGCACCTTAAAGACTAATAAAACTTTATTCCACCATAACTTTTTATGGACTAGAGCCCACTTCATAAGATACAATGCAACGGCTCCACACTAGGGAGATCTTTTATATAGGAGATCTGGGAGAGAGAAAAATAAAACACCAGGGTCAAGGGGCAATGGAATTCAGGAAGCAAGGAGCCAATCTGCGTGGCATCTAACGAAGTGAACTTAGGTGTATGAGAGTTTCTGCTAGAATTAAAAAGGACTTTTTAGTCTTTAATGTTGCCATTAGATTACTTTTTATTTCTACTCCCCTCTGGGATTACTTTTGACTTTGTTGAGAATCTGGAAATCTCCCATCTAGAAGAAGAAGAAGAAGAGATTGGATTTATACCCCGCCCTTCACTTAGAGTCTCAGAGCAGCTTACAAACTCCTTTCCCTTCCCCTCCCCACAACAGACACCCTGTGAGGTAGGTGGGGCTGAGAGAGCTCTTTCAAGAACTGCTCTTTCAAGAACAGCTCTGACAGAACTATGGCTTGCCCAAGGTCATCCAGCAGCTGCAAGTGGAGGAGTAGGGAATCAAACCTGGTTCTCCCAGATTAGAGTCCGCACACTTAACCACTACACCAAACCAGCCCATTGCACAATTCTAGAAGCAGCAGCTACAAAAACAACTCAGGTGATGATGAAACCACATTTTCATAATATTGCTTGCAAAATGCCCATCATTATGATATACGCAGGCAGACTGGAAAGACTTGTATAGAGCAAGGCATTCTAGAAGTGTGTAAGATGTGCTATACCGCCTGCAGGGATCTCTAAGTGAGGACTGAGCCATCCAGTGCCTGGATAGCAACAGACCTTTCCTTGTCCACAACAAGGTCCTCAAAGTCAGTGGTTATTTTTTTCTCATAGGTGGGAATGCCAAGAATTGATTTCTGTGGGAGACAGCTAAGAGTATGCTTGGGGAAGGGGGCGATGGGGTGATCTTTCCTTGGTTATTCCAGCCCATAAGCATCTACCTTGATCTTATCTGCATAGCTGTTTCTCCTTATCTGCATAGCATCCTCCTGTGTTCTGTTACTGATCAGGCTAGAGTGTGATGGTATGTTGGAAGGATTAGCTACTTTGTCTATCGAACTGCAACACGTGATATGACAGGAGCTGGAATTAACAGCAGAATAAAAAGCCCAGCTTCTGCTATGTCTTTAGCAAGTGCATTATTAACTATCAAAATCTGCTTTTGATATAGTACTGCGAAGCAAAGAGAATGCCAAAGATCATTTTATGTTTGAATCAACTTGAGGTTGAATGAATAAGGGTAACCATTCCAAAACAGCGGTGGGCACCCTATTTGGTAAGGGTGCCACAAATCGAGTCCAAAAACAAGCCAGTCCACTCTTGTACACATCACTGAACCTGCCCCCTATACTTTTCTGCCTCTAGCTACAGGCAACAGTGGAGCACAAAAGCATCAGGTATGGGTGCAGGCCTGACTCAGCGTCATAGCTTGATTGGCAGACCTTCACCTCCTAATAATAATAAGCATTTGGGTAGAGTTGTCAGTGTTCAAACTGAAATGATATATATTAGTCCTCACAACAGCTCTGTAAGGCGGGCCATCATGATTATCATCCCCAACTGCAAAAAGGGGGACTGAGAGTGAATAGGAGAGAGAAGAGTTGGTTTTTATACCCTGCTTTTCTCTACCCTAAGGAGCCTCAAAGAACCTTATAATCTCCCTTCCCTTCCAATACACCAAAAGCCACCTTGTGAGGAAGGTGAGGCTGAGAGAGTTCTGAGAGAACTGTGATTGGCCCAAGGTCACCCAGCAGGCTTCAGGTGGAGGATTGGGGAATCAAACCCGATTCTCCAGATTAGAGGCCACTGCTCTTAAACCACTACACCTTGCTGGCTCTCCAGCATGTAACTTGTTTAATTCTCTTACAGAGCCACTGAAAGCAGAGTTACGCCCTGCTATGTCCACTGAAGTCAATGGGCTTAAAAAGGCGTAACTTAGTGACACTGTGGTGCAACACAGCCTCATTGCCTGTGCTACACACTGGCCACCTTCACCCAGATAGGTTCACGCAAAGGGAGCCCTAAGTTGCATACCTGCATTTTCCTCTTGACCGTTTCAAAGGGGAAAGAAAGAGTCTGTGCAACACCAGCTGCCAAGCAACCGTTGATGAAATTCTGTAATGGAGTGAAGTGGAGGCTGGGCTCACCCCAGATTTTATCCAGATGGGTGTAAACAAGGAAGGAGCCAGCGGAAAATGGGATAGCTCCTGTCAAAAAAATAAGCAAAAGAGTTGTGAATTCAGTAAGTCTTCAGAACATACCATGCCAGGGCCAGATCAGTAGCCCTTCTAACTCATTCTGCTAACCATGGCCAATTAGATGCCTCAGAGATGTTTGTAAGCAAAGCATGATGGGAATATCTGTTCCAGCATTTGATATTCAAAGGAATATTCTATGGAAGTTGCGCAAAACAGAAGTTGCGCAAAACTAAGCATGGCCAATTCATTGTATGTTCAGCATGGGGTATGTAACATGATTAGGTATAGAATGGTGGCTTAGTGATCCCGGAGGTTCAAGTCTCATCTTGGCCACAAGTCTATTAAGTGGCCGTAAGCAAGGCATTCATTTTGCAAGTAGTAATCTGATATAACTGAATTTTTACAGCTGCATTATAGGAAAAAACCTTACTGATTTTCCTCTCTGGTCGTTATTATACCAAGTCTCATACTGTAGGGGGAAAAAAATGAGTCAAGGATACCTAATACAGACAAAGAAACTCCACGATAAAGTGCAACAACTCCCTCCTGATGGTAAATCAGGTACAGAGCATGAAGAATTCCCTTGTAGGATGGCTTCAATCGGTTCTGCACAATGAGCCGTGTCTTTATGACCTCAGTTGGATAAGTTGCAACAGCTGCCACCATGCCAGCAAGGCTACCTGCCATGATTGAGCTCCACTGAGAGATGTGCCCCAAATCATCCACAAACAACATGACAAACCTAGTGCAAGATACAAGGGGAAAGTTACACTCATTAGATGCACAACAGAAATACCATCAGAGAAGACTATTCTCTGCAACCTCTCCAAAATCAACAACTGCCCTATATATGTGCATTCTCTGCTGTGGCCGTGTGCTGAGGTCAAGAAGGATCCCACTTTCCTGGCATTCTGCAAAATATGCAAAACTGAATTATTCAAGAGGGCTTTCTTACACAGGTAGTAGGGCTGTACTGTAACAAAATAGCTCAGAAAGATGGTTGAGTAAAGTGCTAGGGACTGCGGCCTATACTATGAACTGTTTGTACTGTCTGTTGCTGCTAAGTAAGATCCTACTATGTAAATTTTGCATTATGTGGTATGTCATGTTAATACTTGTGCTTTATTTCAGCTCTGTTTCAGATTTCTGCAATCCAAATCCTATCACACTGTTTACTGGATATCCCATCCTGTTGATTGTATTGACTTACTGTGTGTAATCTGCCTTGAGTCCCAGTAAGAAAAGCAGACTATAACTAACACAAATAAATAAGTAATAGCATTTCAGTCACAGAGTGACCCTCAGTATACTGTCCATGGTGAAATAACCACCAGTGATGTCTATTAAACCCAACAGCGTTAGCAAACTTGTTAGCAAACGCTGGCTTGGAAGCCTGACATTCTGTCTGCTCCCTAAAAGCCTTTTGCATAAAGCTACCATAACATCCCAAGAGCATTAAAAGACCATTCTTCACAAACATGAGAAGCGTGCTTGATGCTATGTATGTTTATGTGGAAGAAAGTCCCACTGCGATCACTGGAGCATACTCCCAGGAAAGTATACACAGAACTGCAGCCTTACAGTACAATCCTATGCAATTTTACCCAAAGGCAAAGCAGGTAGAATTCTGCGGGATTTGCATCCTAGTAGGCGTGCACAGCTCTGAGCAGCACTATCCTAAACCATTTTACTTAGGAATGTCCCAACATAGTCAATGGGGCTTACTCAAAATTAAGTGCGTATCAGATTGCAGTACAGTGTAATCTGATGCAGACTACGGTTACTTATATTGTTTTCAATGGGTTTAGACTGGAGTTACTCCACTCAGTCAGGAAGACACTGTTAAAAGTCCTTGAACTGGAAGGAACTTTCAAGGTCATCTAACCCAACCCTTCTACTCAATGGAGGAAATCCCAAACTAGAACAGTCATGACAGATGCCAGCCAGGCCTCTGCTTGAAAACCTCCAGTTAAGACTCCCCTCCCCGATAATTGGTTCTGTTGCCAACCCCTCTTACCATTAGGAGTTTCTCCTTGTATTCCTATTGATTTCAGTTTTGCCAATACACCAAAAGTGATGCTAAACCAACAACATAAACAATGCAGAAAAAAATAGATTTTTTTTTTTAATGCAGGATTTTTTCTTTAACGGGCATTGCAGCTTTGATGAATGATAGTTTCCTCTATGAAGCCAAAAGTAGGAAGGCTTTTGTCCCTAAATGAAACTTGCCTGCGTGCGAAGGCCATCCAACAGAGAAACCTTATGCTCCAGCCACATAAACAAGGTCAGATAAAACTGGACTTCAATTACTCTCCCTCCTCCTAGAGAGCTATATTTGGCTCCCACCACAAGTCAGAAAATCTTCAACCAGCTTTCTGATTCAAAGTTTCAACTTCCACATTTTGGCATGAAATGCAGCTTGTACTTAAAGGATAAGGGTGTGTGTTGTGGAGTGTGTGGAAAAGAAAAGGGAAGGACTATCCAGCCACTCCATCTTTGCACCAAAAAAAGAGACACTGTGTTCAAACCTTCCTCCTTTCAGACGCTTATCTGGAATTTTTTCTCAGTAAGACCAAGGCTGTGTCTTTATATTTTCTGAATATGAGGGACACACAGCTAGTATACATTTGTACAGAACTATCACAGTCCATATCTCTTGCATTTCACTGCCTTTTGACCCCACTGTTGAGAATTGTGTTCTCCATTCCCATGTATATATCTGCCAACCGAGGCCATGCATCTGAGGAAGAGGTCAATGTGTTAATCTTTACATTCCATAGGCCTACTATTGATATTTTTAATGGTTAACCATCCTTAATTTAAGAACGAGAAAAATAATCAACATATATACTTGCCACATTGTTAGTGTTCCCTACCACTTAATGGGGGGGAAAGTTGGATAAAATGGATTAGAAGAGCATCCCTTGAATGGCCCTCTCTTCTCTATCCATCTCTTTGTTGGCTAATATTTGAAAGCTTAAAGACAGACAGACAGACAGTTAAAGGCACCAAAGTGTTTTGGATGGAGAAAACAATGAAATAAATTATAAGAGGGCATGATCTGATTGGAGACGCAAGTCTCCCTTCCTCCGCTACCGTCTCTCCATACCATGCCATCGGTTTGTGATGTTCCCCATCCCCGCCGTGCCAACACTGCCCCCGCAAAGCCCCCTATTTACCTGCGGTAGGAGGCGAGTTGCAGGACGCTGTAGGG